GCAGAAAGCTGTGGGTAAACTTCTGTCCTGGGTGTCGGCATCGGAGTTGTTTAAAAATCAGAATTTGAGTCTGTTGTTTAGATCTCAGAACTGGTTGTATCTGTAATTTGTGGTGGCTCTAGGCAGCCTCTAATGGCCTAGGCTCCTTTGTACCAGTTCTTATTTTAATAAATTACCTTACCTTTTCAAAAAAAAATATATAAGTCAAATAAATTTTTCCTTATTGAGAGAACATAACAAATGATGTATAACGATTGCAAAGTTATTCTAGGGAAAAGTTTAACCACACAATATAGATTAGTGGTGTAGACATACACATTGGGAGGTGGAAGAGAAATAGATATCCAAAAATTAGGCAAAAAACTAAAAAGAGAAAAAAAAAAAAAAACTAGCACATTTATCCGTGCTTTCTGACCTATGATAGTATAACTAGTACATATCTTAATCAATGAAGAAGATTGTTATTGATCAAAAAAAAAAGCTAACACATTTTGGAGACAGAATGGTAAACAAAAGGAAAATGGAAATTAGGTGGAAAGGTAATTATATGAGGTTCACTGGTTTGAAATGGCTAATTGCATAAAGAAAGTAGCAAAGGACCTTTTAGGAAAATACGAAGGGAAATGACAAGCTGCTAAAGAAATTTGGTGGTGGAACAAAGAGGCTCAAAATAAAATCAGATTAAAACGAGCATTGTCATAAAATATGAAAAACTTAGAAAAATATAAAACCATAAGAAAGAAAGTAAGTGATTTTTTAAACATGAAAATTTTAAGGTATATGTTGAGATCTATTCCAAATTAGGCACTAGAGAGAGAAAATGGAATTTATAAACCAGCAAAGACAAGAGAAAGGAAAGGTAGCAAGAGATTCAAACCATATTTGGTGCATTAAAGAGGAAGGTCAAAGAATCTTGGTAAAAGATAAGGAAATCAAGGAAATATGGGAAAAAAAACTATTTTGAAAATTTATTAAATGAACAACATGAAAAGGGTCTAACGGGGAAAAGATTAGTAACTCTAATAGTGTTAATAATAACATGTACCTTCATAAAATTAGAATTACTGAAATGAATGAGGCTAAATAAGATGAAGAAGGGAAAGACATTAGGACCTGATGGTATTCTAACAGAAGTGTGGAAAGGTATGGAGAGGTAGGCTTATTATGGATGACTAAACTATTTAATAAGATAATGAAAGAAAAGGAGATGCTTGATGAGAGGAGACAAAGCACTATGGCGTGGTGGCGCCTATATTTAACAACAAAAGCATTATACAAAGTTGTAATAATTACCATGGGATTAAACTCATACACTATGAAAATTGAAAGATAATAATTGAGCCAAGGTTATAACATGAAACAAATATTTCAAAGAACCAATTTGGATTTATGCCAAGGAAATCAACCATGAAGCTGTCTTTCCTTTGAGATGATTGATAGAAAAGAGAGAGAGAGAGTAAGAGAAATCTTCATAGGATGTTCATTGATCTAGAGAAAGCATATGATAAAGTCCTTGAAGAGAAAATATAGTGGGTCTTGGAAACGAGAGGAGTGCCAAATAGGTATGTGGACTTAATTAAGGATATGTTTCAGTATGAGGGTGCAACAATCAACAACAGTATACTTATGGCAGAAATAAGGTTCAGCACTTGGCTCTTATTTATTTGCATTGATCATAGATGAATTGACTAAACATATACAAGAGTGGGTCCAATGGTGCTTGTTGTTTGCTAAAGGCATTGTCTTAATTGATGAAACTAATGAAGGATTAAATGCAAAATAAGAGAAAATAAACTTACATGGCTTGAATGCATGCATAGAAGACCGAAATAAACTTACAAGTGATCGGTTACAACTTAGATGGCTTGAATGCATGGATCTAAGTGCTAAGAAATGATTTGAGCACTCATAAATGGATATGGCATTAAATAGGACAGAATGGCGAAGTAGTAAGAAACAACCTATTCAACCTGGATGTCTGAACCAATGAACTATCACCGAAATAAAAAACTAAGTTGAGCTCCATATCAGGTTTTAAAACATTGGGTACCATTAGTGAGATGTGTTACCTGCTCGACCAGATTACTCATTCTGACATTATTTTGCCAAGATGATTGCTGAAGTAGCATTGCTTTCTGTTGGTGAATGTAAAGAAGTTAATGAAAAACTTATATGATAAAAATCCATGGAAAAAGAAAAAAGGCTGTATAAATAAAGGTTTTAAGAGAATGATCTAGAAACCAACTATCCATCAAAAAAATGAGTTAGCAACCAACAGAAACCAGAGAAAAAAGTAACACACTCATGGAGTGAGCACCACCAAGGCTAATAGCACCACTCACCCAATTATTAAGGAAAAATGCATTTCAATGGAGTGAGCAAGCCCAGCAAGCCTTCACTAACCTAAAGCAAGCAATTTCCACACCACCAATTCTGACATTACCCAGCTTCTCAAAACAGTTCACACTTGAGTGAGACGCTTCGGGGACAGGTCTAGGAGCTGTTTTAATGCAAGAGGGGAAACCATTGGCCTATTTCAGCAAAGTACTCTCACCACAAAATCAAGATAAATCAACATATGAGAAGGAGCTCATGGCCGTTGTACTTGCAGTCCAAAAGTGGCAGGCTTACCTACCGGGCCGCCGATTTGTCATCAAGACAGACCACAAGAGCCTGAAATTCCTGCTTGATCAGAAATTCCACACACCTGAACAGCAGCAGTGGACCCACAAACTCATGGGCTATGACTACATTATAGAATATAAACCTGGTACAACTAATCAAGCAGCTGATGCTCTATCCAAGCTACCTGAGTTGGCACAGCTCACTGTCTCCAGGCCCAGTTATCCATTACTCGAGCAGCTCAAAGCTGAAGCCTTTCAAGATACAGAACTAGCCCAATTAAGGGCCAAATGAGCTCAGAATCCAGCCTTGACCCCAGGTTATTCGGTTCGTGACTCAACATTCTATTACAAGGGTCGATTGGTTATCTCATCCAAGTCAGCCCACATAGCAGAATTACTACGACTCTTTCATGATTCAGCTATAGGTGGTCATTCAGGCATATTCAAAACCTACAAGCGTCTGGCAACACATTATTATTGGAGCGGCGTGATGAAAACAGTAAGAGTTACATCACCTCTTGTGATGTCTGCCAAAGACAAAAGTATGAAGCCCAACAACCAGCCGGCCTCCTACAGCCCTTGAACATCCCAGATCAAGTATGGGACGAAATCTCAGTGGATTTTATCGTGGGCCTACCTGTTTCAAAAGGCAAATCAGTCCTACTTGTGGTGGTTGACCGGCTATCAAAGTACAGCCACTTTATACCTCTAACACACCCTTACACAGCAGCTATGGTGGCAGAAGCATTTGTTAGAGAAATCACCAGATTACATGGGACACCAAAGGCAATCATCTCCAACAAAGACCCAACCTTAGCAGTTTTTGGAGAGAATATTTCAAGTTACAAGGCACTTCACACAACACCTCTACTAGCTATCATCCTCAGATGGATGGGCAGACCAAAGTTGTCAACAGATGCATCAAGACATATTTACGATGCTCTGTGGGGGACAGACCTAAACAATGGATACAATGGTTGCCTTGGGCAGAGTTTTGGTACAACTCATTCCATGTCTCAACAGGTACGACACCATTTAAAGCATTACACGGCAAAGACCCACCATCAGTTCTACCCAAGGATCAAAGTATCGGTATCGGGTAAGTCGGATACGGATACGCTTTGGAAATGCATGGATACGAATGAAAGATATAGAAACGCTTGGTTACACTAGTGAAATGCATACAAATCACATAAATACATTAATCATACTAAACCAAAAGCTGAGTTATCTATAAGATATAAACACATGAGAAATGCATACTTTAATAGGTTATATGAAGAGAAATATTACTGTCGGCAAATTAAGAAAGATAGGATTTGATTGATTAAGAGATTTGAATAAATTTAGGAAAGATTAGATTTGAATAAATTTAGGAAAGTCATATCCTAGGATTAAGGGAAAGATTTAGTCAATCCCTGATTGAGAGAGATTCTAGGGGTTTGTCTTTCCTATCTTTTCTTATTTAAGTTGTATGCTCAATATGT